TGGTATGTGGGCCCATTGCTAGGCAGTGACCTCAAAATAAGTGACTCTACAACAGCTGTTGCTAGGTAACAGCTCAGCCAACAGACACGAATCCAACAATTACATGGCGACACTTGCACTGCAACAGAGGAATTGTGTTTTCGACATGGTCCATGCTGGGGTCGTGAGCCTCGGGGGGCTTGGTGCCAAGACGAATTGATTGGCAGTAAACCACCAGCTGTAAAATAATTCTGACTCTGACAGTTGCTCAGCACCTGTGTTTATGTGGCAGACTGCAAAGAGGGTTATGTTCTGAGAAAGCTGCAGGGAGGTCTCAGTGGTATCGAGATGTGGTGTGAGTTCTGGAACATAAAAATCAGTGAAGATAAGACTCAGGCCATCTACTTTTCTCATACACTTAGGCTCCCTGATGCTCATCTTACATTAAATGGAAGGAATATCCCCTTCGTCAGTCATGTAAAACATCTCAGTGTAATCCTCGATAAGAGGGTTACATGGAGACTGCACATAGAAATGATTGAAGGCAATGCCTTCAGAACTTTTATTAGAATCTTCTTACTCAAAAGTGAACACTTAAGCACCAACGTCAAACAAAGCAGTGATTAGATCAGTAATGAGTTATGATTACCCCACCTGGGAATTAGTGGCAGACAGCTACCTCTTAAAATTTCAGCAGCTGCAAAACAAGGTTTTCTGCACCATTGGAAATTTCCCAAGGTGCAGTTTGCACATGGCTTTCAATCTTCAATATGTATATAATTATGTAACAAAATTGTGCAGGCAAGAAGCAGAAATCGTACAAGATCGTGAGAATGAACATGTTCGCAACACAGGACAAGCCGAAGCCAGACATAGAAAATGTAAGAGGCTTGAACTTGGCAGTGGTCAAGCTTACAGTTGTTCAAGTGACTAAACTGTTGTTGTAGTATAAGATTAGTAAGATAGCTGCTTTGCAAAGTCTAGACTGGCAGATGACATATATAGCACACAAGGAAGAATTTTCAATAATGCGCTATATGTGTGATACATCCACTTGACAAAGGCAAGGATTTTTCATAAGACCAACCCAACTTCTTGTCAGAGAGAATGTTAGATGAGAACTATGATTGCAAGGGTTCAGTTACAAAAAAAAATACTCTGGTTGTGAGTCTCAAGGGTCTTGTTGCGAAGATGAACTGATTGGCAGTAAACTGCCACTCTGACTCTTGACTAACTCTGACAGTTACTCAGTTAATAAGGATTTCGTTGGTTAGTCAGTTGGGTGGTGAGTTAATGAGTTAGATAACCACTGGAGTTCAGTCACTGTGAAATGGTGCTTCTTAGACTGTGGTAGCTGAGGCCAGGGACAGTTTGGGAACCCAGAGGAAGGGCAATGTCTGCCGTTGGAAGTTGCTATGAAGCAACGGCTATTGAAGACTGTAACAGGTTGAGAAGACCTAGTGTGTCCTGTAGGGGTTTGTGAAGTGTGTAGAACAATGAAAACATAGTCCTTACTTTCAGTTAACAAGCTGTAGGAGTTAGAGGTGTGGCAAACTTATAGTTTAAAATCATATTTGGCTTACCAGAAGCAAGTTGTTGAAATAAGTTGTGATGGCAAAAAATATACATCAGCTCCAAGAGAAATTTAATATGAAGTACCACAGGGTTCAGTGCTTGGACCATTATTATTTTTGTTATACATAAATGATCTGCCTTTGAATATCAAAGAGGCGAGAATAGTTTTGAAGAAAGCAGTCTTCTGGGATTTGGCACCGTGTATATGTGGTGTTAACCGACGTTTCGGAGGAACGTATCGCCTCCATCTTCAGGGTAGAAGAAAAAGTATAAGAAATCTGCAAGCGACAAGACCGTGAGAACGGTAAAAGCAGAATAGTTTTGTTTGCAGGTGATATAAATATTTTGATAACAGCTGAAAAGGGACATATCCTGCAGCAAAAGATAAATAAAGTTATGAATGAGTTATATGGATGGTTCAATGCAAATAATCTTATTTTGAATACTGAGAAAACAATAGCAATGAAACCTCAAATGAAATTTGGCAGAATGGAGATCTCCTATAAATGTGAAATGAAATTTCTAGGTATACATGTTGGCGAGCATATGGAGTGAAAAGCACATATGATGTTCTTAAGCTCAAAACTTCATAAAGTCTGTTACATGATAAAATCCCTTAGGGATATAACAAGCCAACAGGTTATAAGGAGTATTTACTTTGCTCACTTCCGTGGTTATTTGAAGTATGGTTTAATTTTCTGGGGTAGCGACCCAGAAAGTAAAATTATATTTAAATTGCAGAAATGAATTGTTAGAATAATTAGTGTGTGAGTAGATTAGCATCATGTAGACAACTTTTTAAGGATTTCAAATTACTTCCATTACCTTGTGTATATATATGTATATATTTGGAATAGTATGCCATGTTAAACTACATTTAGAAAAGTTAGAACAAAATAACGTAGTTCATAATCACAATACATGCCAGAAGTTAAATCTCCATGCTCAGTTTTGCAGAACAAATGCCTATAAGAAAGGAGTACTGAACATGGGAATAAAATTATACAATAAAATACCAAATAAAATTAGGGAGATAGAAAAAATGAGACAGTTTAAAGAAGTAATGAGGTCATATTTGGTACAACATACATTTTATTCTGTAGAGGAATATATGTTAAATTAAAGATGGTACGTTTGTGAAAGGGGGGTATTTATTTTTAATTATATAAATCTAATTATTGTATGTTTAATGTGTATGGAACATTTTCCTATGACAGTGATTTGACGAGGAAGGAAGAATGGATTGATTGATTGATTGATTGATGTGAAATGGATTGAATTGGTTACTCTGTTGGGGAATTTATGTTGTCTAAAATTTTTAATATAGTTTTATATGGTATGTTGGACATGTACACAATTTGTGTATGTAGTTAAATATTATAGTATTGTTGACTTTTATACAAATAATTTGACTTGTTCTATATCTGGAGGCTGTATTGCAAAATGTGGATTTCTGGAACCAATAAAAATATGAATATGAATAAATCTGATTACCAATCCAAACCTCATCTGTAGTCACACTCATGCATGTGACAGTATCCATAATACAGAGAATGCTGTGTATCTATAGACTGGCAAGCTAGAAATCTGTTTGACTACACCTGTCCACTAATGGCCACCAAACCATCACCTTGTCAGTTGCTGATTTATCTTATTAGTGCTGATGTTTAGCATGGTTAGTTGTCCTACAGATATGTTTACATACAGTTTGCAGTGTCGTGAAATAGGATGTTGAGAAATGAACTGAAGTTATTCTTGTACAGTGTTTCTAATGGCAGAAATGCCATAGAAAGTTTCATAGGAAGTATCCTGACACTACATAGCTGTATAAAGCTATGATTCACAACATCGTAATAAAATTATGTTCTTCAGGATTGGCGCTGGACAAAGAGAAATCCTGAAAAGATATGCAGACTCAAGAAATACCTGATGACATCAGTCCTCAGTTAGAAACAAACCTAAAGAAGTAAATTTTTCATTCAGTTCTTTAGTGTAGGTTGACAAAATGTACTGCACACTTTCGTAAAAGTTGCTAAGTTACAGCTGTACAAAACTGCAATGGTACATAGGCTTTCGCCTCCAGATGCAAAGCAAGATTTCAGTATTCTAGGTGGTTTCAGGAATCGGTATTCAGTGGGCTCCTTGGCCCAGAACTTAAGTTTCATTCTGATTGGGCAAAGTTCCTTGAAGTGGGTACATAAACAGTTAAAAGATCAGATATTAGAGCACATAGAATTTTCATGCTGTTCAGAAAATGCCACTGCCTGATTTAAAAGTTGGAATTTAGGGTGCAGTTAGTGTTTGGATGATAACTGGGCTGATGACTGTTTCCAAACAGATTTGGAACATTATGTGAATATGATTCTGTCACCCTTCTTCAGTCAACTGACTGATGAAGAAAAACTGTTTGAGCGCTTGATGTAAGATAATGTAATGGCACACACTGTAAACAATTCTGTGGATACATTAGATGGAGTCTATGGTGAATGAGTTAAGTGTCCTTCATGGTCACCCATTCTAAATCATTTTGACTTCATTTATCGGACACAATGTAAGAAGTCTGAACAATCAGTGCTCTGTGGAAGATTGTCAATCAAGTATAAGGTATGTGATTTCTGCTGTTCGTATACAGCAGCTTCACTGTGTCTAGAAACATATTCTCACTATGTGAGACTTGCTTAGAAGCAGAATGATCATCACTTTGGGACTTTCCTATCAAATAAGGTAAGGTACACTGCAGCAGCAAAATAGGCCAGTGGGCCAGCATGAAGAGTTCTGTGTTAGCTGTGCAACCAGTCTAGTGATAAACTCTATGCTCTTACTGTATTATATTGTAAATACTGGGAAAAAATTTACAGTACCTGTAGTTGAGCCCCTTTGACACACACACACTCACATGATTATGAAGAAACTCAACAGCTGTGTTTTACTTATGCTCACTGCCTCAAACATAAGTATAATGTAAACTAAATTAACATATACTGTCTACTAAATGTCACACGCATTTAGCACTCCTTGTTATTTGTGAAGAACAGGGCTAAAATCTCAACCCAGAGACTAGATGTCATGACAAATTTGCCACATTTTTCCTCGGTCTTTCCAGGTGGTACCTTGATAATACCTCAACTTAGATCATGATTGCTTCTAGATCCTTCCCCCATTTATTCATTAATCATTCCATTATTCAGTGGTGTATAGTCTTAGCTACTGAGAATTATTAAGTAAAAGAAATAAATAACATACTCTTACTGAATTTATGTTTGTTGACGTAAAACAAAGATGTGTCATAATATGAGGAAAATAATTAGTATGTTTTCTAGAACAACTAATAGCTGTTCCTAATATATTGACATAAAAATTATGCACAAGGTAACAACCTAAGTAACATGTCTGTATCCTGGTTCTTCACATCTATATATTTTATCCAGACATATTTATTTGTGCAGGACAAAACATTTGGCTTGAAAAACAAGAAAGGTGCAAAGCAGCAGCGATTCATTCAGCAAGTTCAGCATCAGGTCAAAAGTGGTGGAAATGTCAAGAAAACTGAAGATTTAAAGAAGCTGGAAAAAGAGAAGAAACTAAAAGATCAGAAAGAAATGAATTTACTTTTTAAACCTGTAGCAACACAGAAAGTTGAAAAGGGTAAAAACGTTATTAGATCCACAATCAATTTATCCATGTTGGCTGTTGGTTTTCACTTGCATTGTGGCCCACTGGAGCAAAACTTCATCACATAATATGGGGAACAAAGTTCGGTTTTTTCATCAGTTCCATGAATAGCACCAAGTAGGTTAATGTAATGGTAACATTGAAAACTCTTGTTTGGAATTGTTTGTTTCAAATCTTGGCTTTGTTTTTGGCTAACAGTCCAAAACTTCTCATGATTTTATTCATTCTCTCAAATGACAGGGTGCTGCCTAGACATAGACAACAAATGCCTCCTTCAGAAGTCTTACTGTTCATGTTTAGCCAGGCTCTTTCAGCATTAAACAATTTCTGCAATTCAAACAGCATTGGAACAGTCTAAGAATCTGTCATTCATAGATTAATCTTGTTCCAACACTTCATTAGTGGAGCAAAACGGTGCAGCTGCAGCATCAGATGCAGTCACTGCTACAAAAGCATTTCAGTTTGCCTGGGTCTATTACTGCTTCTGCACGCTTCAGTCAGTCGCATCCACTGGAGCAACATTTCCGTGGATGTATAACACAGTCCGTCAATAATACAACAAATTGTTCCTTTTTCTTCCACTTACATTTTTATCACAAATTTTGGCCCTAGATGGCCATCCTCAGGTGTCTTAATATATTAAAACTGCTACACTGAACTACCAAAATTTTATTTTATGAACTGAACTACAGCGCGTGATTTTAGCATATATTAATGCAGTGTAGCAGTTTTAATATATTCAGACACCTGAAGATGGCCATCTAGGGCCTAAATATGTTGTGATGAAAATGTAAGTGGAAGAAAAAGGAACACTTTGTTGCGTTACTGATGGACTGTGTTATAGATAGACGTTTTAATATGCCTTGCAACAGGATGCTTAAATACAGAATTTCCATGGACTAGTTATCCTGCAACTGCTGCAGTGGCAAGTTATATTCTTGTGATAAGCACTTCTGTTTTTGTTCTGTAATGAGATGTAAATATTCACTGATGATAAACAATGAAGCTGATGGAACACATAGTGAATGTTCTAAAAATGAATCGTGTGAAGAACAGAATTATTAGAAGAGGCTGTTCATGTAGTGATATTTTGTAGTCTTAAGGAATGGAAGTATATTTATGAAATCACAATGCTTTCTGTAGATCCCTCCATTCAACTTTTGAATCACTTCACCAAATTTCACAAAATTGATTGGTTTGAACATTATTTCATTTTAGCCACTACAGTATCATTCATTGTTTGTAATTTTATAATATTTGTAATAATAACATGTATGCCTGAACTTGTGAGATGATAGAAACACTAGCATTACTAAATTTAGGGTCCTGAAATGATGTAAGATAATAGATCTTTGAATAATATGCAACTTTACCAACATTTTTCTGTGGAATGTAAAATAACACCCATGCAAAAAATTTTCATTAGCTTTCAGTTCACTGGTGATAACTATAAACTTTTGGAGCTGCATGTGAAATTTGGTACACAAATAGACTCTAAATATACCTACATATTACTTACTTACTCACTCATGGAGCTGAGCCCTTCTTGAGGAGCCGCCAATTCTGCAGCTACTCAAGAATTTCCCAGAATTTTATGGAACCCGAAGGTTCATCACCATGCTCACAAGAGCCCTCCACTGGTCCCTATCCTGAGCCAGATCTATCCAATCCATACCATCCCATCCTATCTCTCTAAGATCCATTTTAATATTGTCCACCCACCTACGCCTTGGCCTTCCCTGTGGTCTCTTTCTTTCTGGCTTTCCCACCAATATCCTACAGGCATTCCTCGTCTCCCCCATTCTATTATGTATGGAATATTATTTGTAAGTCAACAATTACAAACAATGATAATGTGAAAGTTTGAGATTATATTCAAGAAATTTGACACACTGTCTTTTCTAAAGACATTAATTATTTTTCCCTTAAAATAGGAAGCACTGCCAGTTTCACAGCACCCATGTTTAGAATTGATGTGATTAATTAAATGAGTTGTTACGTTCTGTTGTAGTAGTCAAACCACAAAGACAAAAATAACACCATCTAATGTGACTATTTAAATTTTATCATTTGAAGACTCATCACCCTTACATGTTTCGATCTCTACGGATCATCCTCAGAGGGCATCAATACTTTTTCGGAAACTACTATTAAATAGATGTTAATTATATACACATGTCTGAAATACACAATGTACACAATGTTCAACCTTTCACATTCACAGCAGCCTTCCTGGTGTTAAAACATTGAACATTGTGTACATTGTGCATTTCAGACATATGTATATAATTAACATCTATTTAATAGTAGTTTCCGAAAAAGTATTGATGCCCTCTGAGGATGATCCGTAGGGATCGAAACATGTAAGGGTGATGAGTCTTCAAATGATAAAACTTAAATAGTCACATTAGAAGGTGTTATTTTTGTCTTTGTAATTGTTAATGTGACGGACCAGAATGAAACAAATTAAATTAGTCAAACCACCTTCATCTGTTGTGCTGCAGCCACTGTATGCATCAGTCACAGTTTCATTGCTCTAGCAGAATCATAAGGCAGTTATATTCACTATGTGGCCCAGCTTTACTTTCTAACAATCCTGGAAATGAACATTATAATTCAGCTAAGTAAAATCTTGTTGCACATACAGGCTAAGGCGTTTTCAGTGTGAAGTAGAGTTGTCATCTAGGACCTGATTATGCTCTCTTGTCATTTGTTATGGGAGGAGAAAGGGGTCATGAGGTACAGTGTCTACCAGAAAATGCTATTATAGCCAGTAAAACCCGTCATTATGGGCTCATGCTAAATTATTGCCACTTTATAGGTTTATAGTAAACCAAAGTACAGCTGACGTGCACACACATGCATGCCCCTACTCATTTAGACAGTGTTCTCCAGCTTGTCATTTCATGGCAACAATCAGAAAAGAATATTTTTAAAAGATGAGGAAAGTTCCAACCATTCGTCTGAAATTCAGTTAATTTTGTGTACAGTAAGTTGGGCTCTGTTCATTAATATAACAAATACTGGGTCAGTTATTTTCTTTTAGTAGTATATTTTACAGTGTGATAAGTGCTCTGTTAACCATTTGAAACACGGTGGTAGCTGTATATACCACCAATTTTAACATTCAGAAACTCTGCATACATATTTGTGTGTTTTGTACAAGTCTAAAAATAAACACCAGTTATTTTCCTACACAGCATAAACAAAATGATCTTTATAATAGAGGTACAGTGCATTTTCTATGAGGTGGGTACACGATTTTAAATACTATTTAGATGAACTTCAAGAATATGAGCAGAGGGGAGGTAACTATCTTATTGTGATTTATATCACATTTAGTATCTGTAATGAAAACATATTAATCGCCAAATGTGTATGTAGTTATGCTAAAGTTATTCTGCTCAGACCAACTGTAATCTTTTAATTTCCAGGTACAGATCCAAAGTCAGTGTTGTGTGCATTTTTCAAGCAAGGTCAGTGCTCAAAGGGCGATCGTTGCAAGTTCTCACATGACCTAACACTGGAGCGCAAGGCAGAGAAACGCAGTGTGTACTGTGACATGAGGGATGAAGGGGATGATACAATGGAAAACTGGGATGAGGAGAAACTAAAGGAAGTTGTTGAGAAGAAACATGGAGAAGCAGAAAGGAAAATGCCTCCTACTGATATTGTAAGATTAATAGCCTAATTCCATGATAAAGAGTATTCCTGTAGCAGTTGTTAGTTATACAGTTGATCTGGACATTTGCTTTTGTTATGGAACCTAGAGGTTCATCACAGAATAACAGTGAGTAATTATCAACTGCTGAGAGAGGACCTTTCACGGTGAGGTTAAGTTTTTAGTTAAAGTGAATGGTAAAGGTGTCATCTGTAGTTTCAAAATTGATTTCATTTCTAGAAACTCTACACAGAAAGAGGCAAGTTTTTGCAAGCTGTGGCATTTTGGCCAGTCGCAATTTACTAAACTGAGATATGATTGGAAATTGATCAGCTACAGTACTCCTAGAGCCTGTCCATGTTAGTCCAAGAGACAAGTTTTTACAGTACTATAGAACTGTTGCATTGTATTGTGTTCTTCGTAAAATACTCGCTGGCTGTGCTAAGTATTGTGAGGGCCATCTACTGAATGTTACGTAAACTATTAGAATACATGCCAAACCCTGCACCTTATCAGAAATTTCCAGTCACTGGTATTTAATGGAAGAATAGTTACACTGGATCTTTCTGGCCACAGATATGATCATGTTAACTTCTTGTAAGTATGTAAGGTGAAAAACGAATACCAGTTAAATGAGTTTGATTAATCCAGATTAACATCTAGTTGCAATCATTTCCATAATTTATTTTCTTTTTCTTTTATTTTCAATTTAGATATGTAAATTCTTCCTTGAAGCTGTGGAGAAGAGTAAATATGGTTGGTTCTGGCAGTGTCCTAATGGATCAAGCTGCATCTACAGACATGCTCTGCCTCCGGGATTTGTTCTCAAGAAGGTTAGAAATACAGTTACATTGCATAGAGCATATCCTTCCTAAGAAATTCCTGTTACATTACATTACATTGCATTGCATTCCATGGATCCAAAGTTAGTCAAAATGACTGTAGGATGTGGAATATGTCATATTAATACAAAACATATGTACAGACCCAGTGGAGTTCTCACACAAGAGAAACCAAGAATACACAGTGACTACACACAAGGCTATTTAAATATACATAAGTTATTTTCTAGACAGTAGGTATTCGTCAACAGAGTAGAATGAATGTGTATTTAAGTATCGTTTCAGTGATATTTTAAGTCATGCCTTTTCATTCATAAGACCTTTGAGATCAGATGGCAGGTTATTAAAAATATTGATCCCAGCATAATATGCGCTTTTCTGAAAGCATGAGAGGTTAGCAATTGGTTTATGAAGACAGTGTTTGTGTCTTTGTTAATACTGTGTACATCCACATTTGTCTGAAAATGTTCTCCATTACTTGTAATGAAGTTTATTAATGAATATATATTGTGACGTGGGCGACGCAATGGTCGTTAAAACACCTCCTCCCTTGTGGTGACATAACAAGAAAAACCGCGGTTGCTATGCAGCAGTAAACAACTCTCAGCAGCGTTGCCCAACAACGTCTTTGTAAACATGGCGTCACGCAACAGGGGAGCCCATGTAGCGACTGTTGATAGGCAGTCAGTAAACACAACATCACACAACATTGAAAGTTATCACGTAACTGTTTTCTGTGTTGTCCGTGCCAAGGATAAATAAGGAGCAGCAAACACTATTCAGTAGTGAGTATTAAGCCAGTTACGAGTTATGAGCAGTTGAAATATAGCCGCTGCCGGGGACAGTTGAATGGATTCGCCGAGATGTAGTTGAGCAGAAATTGAGATAGTGAATTTGTATAAGATTAAGACTGTATAACTGTGAATTGTATAAGTGAAGAGCAAATGTGCAGTAAATTCGCTATATCCAGTATGACGTAAAGTTACTTGTCATGTGACCTATACCCAACACGTGACAATGTATTCACAAGGCACAGTTAAGATCTGTAGTCTCTTAAATAGATCTCTACAGGAATTACAGGATTTGACACCCATCATGATTCTAACAATTTCTTTTGCAATGTAAATACCTTTTTACTGTCAGATGAATTACCCCAGAAAATTGTTCCATACTTCATTAAGGAGTGAAAATAAGCAGAATAGATTGATTTGAGAGTGTCAGTGTTACTAATATGTAACGTGAATCTAACTGCATAACATGCTCTACTTTACTATGGAATCAACCGATCGATGTGGTTTTTCCAGTTTAAATGATTATCAATTTGCAAGCCAAGGAATTTTGTGTTTACTCCCTCTTCTATATACAGGTTGTCCCAGGAGGAATGTGCCAGACTTTGGGAGGATGTTCCTTATGTTAAAGTATGCTGATATAACCCAAAACACCTATGTCCAAATTTGAACGGTTACGGAGATAATGGCCCGAGAAAAGTGTGGTCTTCTGGCAGGTCATGCACTGTACCTGTCAGCTGACAAGTCTTATCAGTGTTTGTCCTTGAGTGTGGTGATGACTGCTCACACTAACCACATACACTCGCATACCAGAATGCTCAGCCAGCCATGTTACGTCAGTGCTTGCCATTCATGTGTCATGTATAGTGCTTGGAACCCTAACGACAACTATGACATGGCATGCAAGTTTTTTTGTAGTTCAATTTAATGGCTTCATGTCACTCACAAGTTAGTCTGATGTTACGTACATTATTAACATTACAGAAACCACATATTCCTGCCCGTTTTAATATGTATTTGGTAATCAACAAGTGTGACACCTGTCAAAGTTTCACACTTCTCTGGCCATTATCTCCATAAACGTTCAACTTTGGACATAGGTGTTTTGGGTTATATCGTCATACTTTAACATAAGGAACAACCTCCCGAGTTCTGGCACATTCCTCCTGGAACACTTGTATTTATCATTATATCCTATATAGTCTCCTACCTAGGATTCTTTAGGGGATTTGTCCTTTCTACAGAATGCTGTTACCAAGCTTTAGTAACCAGTTCATTCCATATTCAGTGATCAATATACATTTTATCCTTCCTTGTGCTATAGCATTTCATATGAGCCTTCGGCTAAACCAAAGCTTTGAATACATTTATTATGGTTAATAATTGTCAACTTTCTCAGTACCACAAGACTGCCTTTGTTTTTGTCTCCTGACACTTCTTTGCCCTTCAGACTGCCACACCAGCCACTCAGCTTTAATTATATTTACAATATTTGAGTTATTAAAAGCTCAGAATAACTCGTTACATTTTCTGCACCACCAACAATTTCTTACCTCCTAAAAAAGCAGAAGATGTAAGAAGTCAGTCTGCTTATCATAATATGTTGAAGGAAAATTAGCACCCTCTAGAGAGAGAGTTAAAACTTGTAAACATTGCCAAAGGATGTTGGAATCTACCAACATAATTTTCTGTCCAGTATGTCATGTAGGAGAGACATGGGAAATTCTTTGGTCCATGCAATAGCCACTTGCACCATAATATGTGAAATATGTTACCAAGATGCAGATATCTTTGTTGTGACTGTGATGGGTATGAAGTGCATGATATTGACAGTCATCAATATCATGGACACTTGGTGATCAGTTTTCATGGAACCCAAAATGAACACCACATTTTTGGAAGGTGACTCATCTTAGTATTTATTGCTTAACTCTGGATCAGTAATTGCTGGCATGTTGGAAGTACAGTTTTATTAAGGTGCGGCAACACTGATGCCTTTTCTTAAGTAAAAAGATGTTCTCGTGTTTAATTAGGCACCATGCCATGATGATGTATAGGAGACTGTAGCTGTAGTTCCATGCTAAACACTAGATTGAGGTGAGTGGTCAGCTTCATGCCCTGGCCACCTTACCCATGGGAGAAGTGTCCCTAGTGCCCCTTGGTTAGGAGACTGTGTGGGTCAGTCAGTCTGGAGAAGAGAGAGGTCTCTTGCTCCTTCAGGGAATTGAATCCAGATCCCTTGGTTGATCAGCCTATAGCCTAGTCACTGTACCGAATGAGCTATCCTGACCCTCACCTGCCTGAAGCTTTGTATGACAATAAATCTTTAAAGAATTATCACACTCATAAGAGCAAAAATAGAGTATAACATTACAGTGACCGCACAGAACATTTGGGTTTGATGGTGACAGCAGATACATCATTGTAACCTGATAGCAATTAAAGATTTTTATCAGTAATTTAATTTGAGGAAGTAAACACTTTTGTGAACCTTTAACGCCAGATCTTTCAGAATATTGTGACACTGTAATGTTAACTATAATATTAAACATGTGACATCAGGGCACTGATGAAGTTTATGTAAAGATTAGAAGATTTGATTATACGAGTATTAACCACATTCAAATTGATTGTATCTCTTTAGGGAAACGTTTGTGGAATGTGGTAGCATCCTTTTTTATTTTATAACATACTATGACATGAGGCCTGACAGGATAAGGGAACAGAGAAACAACCAGTGCTAGGCAACGGCTGTGTAACACACAGCAATATCAGAGCCATCACTAAGCAACGTATACACAAGAGTGGAGGAACTTTGGAAGTGGTGGTTTCTGTGCAGTCCACGCTGAGTCTACATAAAGTGTCAGTTTTGCGTTGTGAATTAGTTTAGCTCAGAAACCAGTTCAGTGCAGGAGCTAGCAGCAGAAGAAAATACCAGCTGAAGAGAGTAGTCAGAGTATGAGGTTGGAAGTTGCTACCAAGCAACATGACTGAGAAAACTAGTCTTTGTGTGATAATGATCTGTAAATTGTAGTCATGAGCTGTAAAGGTGTCCAGTAAATCCAGTTGCCAATTCAAAACCTGTCGATCCTCACTTAACATATGACAGTACATTTAGTAACTTTTGTAGAACATTCAGTTGTCATTACTGGTGTTAGTTTATTGTTTTCATGCTAAAGAAGTTGGGTGGTATCTTTGTAGGACAAAAAGAAGGAAGACAAAAAGGACGAGATTTCACTTGAGGACCTGATTGAGCGTGAACGGGCTGCACTGGGTTCAAACCTGACTAAGGTTACTCTGGAAACATTTCTTGCATGGAAGAAGCGAAAGGTAAAGGAGAAGAAGGAGGCAGCGATAAAGGAGGAGGAAAAGAAGCGGTTAGACTACAAAGCAGGACGGCAAATTGGGGTAAGACACAAAAATAGGTTTTTGGTTCATGGTTATGTTTAAGCCAAAGTTATTCAAATTTTGAAAGTTTGAACTGTTTTCAGATTTCATTCATGTTCTAATGAAATGTTGACTTGTGTCTGGTGCAGATATCTGGACGTGAAATGTTCTACTTTAATCCTGACCTGGCAGTAGCTGATGAGTTTGAGGAGGGAGATGAAGCATTTGATTCCTACAATTTGGACGATGAGGATGGACAGAATAATGTTGAGGTACTTATTGTTCCTTACCATAGAACAGTGTTCCGCAACCTTTTTCTACTCGCGGCACACCATGAAGTATCCATGACTCAACACGGCACACCAAAATGTTATTCCCCTCAAAAACGCATGATATCAGACAATTAATATAAATACGTAACGTGATCAACTTATTACTATAATATTATTATACTGTTATTTTATTATCATTAA